CTGTCATGACTCCTGTTCTCAACAAGCGGAAGTCCGTGCTGCACGAAGCCAAATGAAACTGGAGATGATGACAGCCAGTGCGGCACCTTGCAATATTATGGGAAATGTGTTGTCTGCGCTGAGTAGTGATGCTTTGGCCCACTTTCCCAAACAATCATCCATTGCAAGAACTCTTCTGAGTCACCGGAAAAGCGGTCATTTGCCTTTTCCAACTGGTACAAATTTTGCTATTCCTGAACAGTATTCCCAGCTAATTCTACATGATTCAGGTGTGGATGATTCATATACAGGGACGACACTTTTGATAAAGTTTCCGATATGTTTTATCAGCTGTATACGCGACAAGCCAACTGGACAACAATTATCCTGCTTGCCTTTACATCATGTTACATAAAAAAGATACACAAACTTATACGGGAATGTTTGAAATAATGAAACTAATGCTACCGGATTTGATGCCAAGAACAGTGTTAGTCGATTTTCAGAAGACTTTTATTGACCTTGCGGGATTCGCATTTCCCGACGCAGTAATTAAAGGACCTTAGTTCCACTTGTGCCATCACAAAAGTCTGTAACGTCAGCTTAAACAGTGCTCTTGAAATGGATGTCAAAATTCAACTACACTTGAAGTCGCTGGCTGCACTTTCCTTAGTCCCAGTCGCTGAAGTAACAGGAGTTTTTGGATGAGCTTGTTATCACATTTCCAAATGAAAAGTCATATAATGCGGGGCTCAATTATTTCTTCTCTGCTTACATTGAAGGGGCAGCAGGCCGAGAACCGCAGTTCCCGCTGCAAATGTGGAATTATCACGATACCGCACTTGAGAGGTCACTGAAAAACATCAAATGCTGCGAAGTATTTCACAGCGCTTTGAATTCCTTGTTCCACTGCAGTCGTCCAAACATATGATAGTTGTTCGATGGACTGCAGAGGGACTTGGTGCTCCACAGACTTATACTAGCCAATGCGCGTGCAGTTCGCTTTGAGGTGTGAAAGGAGATATTATGCGTTGCAAGCTGCCGTTGCTTCTTGTGTTTTGGATTATGAAGTAACGGAGAGATGCAAGAGGAAAATCAGCAGCAGCACGCCGGTACATTATACCTACGCTTCACAGTGGCGTATGGGCTGAGTATACCTCGAAGGCGCCCGCCTCTTCGCCGATTCGAATCGGTGACCTAAAGAATGCAAGTCTAGCGTGCAGTCCTTTCGGTCACCGGCCGACATGAATCAACGAAAGACCGAGTTAAATACTTCCGAAGATTAGCTAATTTGCAATAATGATCCTTGTTGTCCCTGCTGGTGTTAAGCCTAGCAGTAAGCTATTTGCGCTCAACGGCAAACTGTGCTAGTACGAGCAAATCCTGTACCCTTATATTGCAAGCTACTTTTGCAGACTTTTCTGTCTCTTTCACAAGGAAATTTTTAATGTGTGATTGACCCCTTTTCGCATTGCGTAAATGAGCATTTTTCCACCTGCATGTTTCATTGATGAAAACGCAGTCCTGATCAACGCACTAATGAATACGCACGCGCACGTTTTGCGCAAATAATAGATCCGCCGGTGACCTGCGAGCCTGTCTTACAATCGTTAGGTCACCGGTTCGAATCCGCATAGGGGCGGGCGTCCTCGCAGTATACTCAGCCCACGCGCGACTAGTGCTGGTCCCGTCGCAACGAAGTGCCGTTACGGCGCACAGTTATTTTATTATTATACCGTCACTCTAAAGCGGCACTGGTGATTCTTGCGTACTAGGGTTGTGGGAGTATCAGCGCGCGTCGCAGCCGCACGAGGGGTCGTAAGCACTTGATAGCCTTTCATACTGTTTCTCATTTCGGATTCAAATTGAAGCTATGTTGTTACAGGATAAGTGGTTGTGTCCTTACCTGGGTATATGTCAGGAACCAAGCAAGTTGGTCGTTTGCCAGAGTTTTTCCTCGCAGAGTCAAGAGACTTCTCACAAATGCGGCTGAAAATAAAATCCGTACTTACCGATTAGCCATTGTTAATTCACGTAGAGGAATAATTGCATCGACAACTTATGAGTAGTCGATTTCCGTTTTTCATATTTACGAACAAGGGGTATCCAGTTCGTCGTTGGTAATTTCTGCGCGGAACCGTTTCAGTCCTAAAGATGTGGTCCCATGCGTATCAATGGTTAGTTTGAGGGACGTGTGAATTGGATGTGAGATTGCACCGCCCTCTCAGAGGTCGGCCACTAATCGTTTTTTCTATGTTATTCTGGCTACTGAGTTTGTGTCCTATCAGGCGTAAATTGCCCCTGAACAATCTCGTTGTGTTTAAGGAACAGGGTGTGATCGCCAATTTCGCAGGCAAGCTGAGTGATACCATCTGAATTGTTTCCCTTACGAGGTGCGACTCAGTTTGCCGCGTATGTTGTTTGCTTGGAGGACACTGTCTCGAGCCCGAGCTCGGAAAGTAGTCGGCTGCGAAGTGCATACCAGTGTTCTAACATCGCGCTTGCGTCTGGCTTGATTGAAGCACCGCCTTCATTTTCCTTTGGCCACATCCTTCGTATCTTGGTGAGCTAGGTGGTGGAGCGGAAAGATGCAGCCCAATCAGAAGATCGGCCTGAGTGTTGGAGATGTGTCCAATTGTTCCCCCACCGGAAGCACCGTGGGTGTGTGGAGTGACGTTTATTCCGATAACGCACACTAACTGTCTCGTGGTCACTTTCAGTGAGACTGTCCAGCAGCTGGTTTTTTCGCGACATAAATTCCGAATGGGAGTATTAAACAACATACACCGGTTGTCCTGGATTGTTTCGCAACCGTACATGGACAGGTATGTGAGCACCGCATAACATAATTCTTCATTTGGAAATGTAGCGCAAAAATCCTCAAACACTCCATTTATATCAGCAACTGGGACAACAGTCAGTGCAGCCAGAGGCTTGGGTTGGCATCTTCCGCTGAGATCGATTTCAAAGGAAGTCTTTAGGACCATGTTGCTGAGATTCCTTCTGAGGCTTTGGCTCAGGTGATGATAGCCGCTTTGATTTCATCGTCTGCAAAAAGAAAGCAAGAGAAGTCGGAACAGTAACTCGGTCTCCTGACAATGGGTTTCAGCCGCCAATTCCTTGCCTTGACTAACTGCAGTAGGCGAACAATGCTCTGTGCAGTTTTGTACATGGTTTGGCAACGCTGCCGGCCGGTGTGTGAATGTCACAATTTGCTACTTTTGGATCTTGCTAGTGCCACAATGTGACCAGATTGATAAGATGTGTTTACTTTTAGTGCGCGCAACCTTTCATGTGTGCAATCTTCAGTACACGCAATCTCCCGTGTGCGCTTTTTGCTTTGCGCACTTTTCACATGCGCTTCCTTTATGTATGCTTTCATGAAACCGGCTCCGAATGACGCCAGTGGTTGGCCGCCCCCTCCGACAGGCCGTAGTCGATGAATCAGTGGTGATCTTGAAGCCTGTCTTACTTTAGAGAGCTGGTTCTCTGATCCCACTGTCTTTTTTCGATCTTTTCATTTTCTTTTATTCTAGTTTTATCACTTTGCTGACCTCTAGTTTATTACAACTTTATCTACTGGTCTTATAACTTATGTTTTGACTGCTCCAGTTCGATCAACTGAACATGGGTCACTTCCCCAACGTCTTTTACCATTGTCTACAACTGCTGATCTCACTTGGCAAATGCGCGAGTGAAGCGACATCGCATTTCCCTGCTTGGTCTTGTGATCATCTTTGTCTCCTCATCTCACTTTCTAGGTTACTGCGTTTGTTGTATCGTGTGAATCCATGGGGACTCATCTGACTCTCTGGTTCTGCTTGCCTCATTTGACTTATCGGTACGAATTTGTACTTTAAAAGGGGGTCGCTTCACTTGTGGGAACGTGATCTGAGGTCCATCCTATTTCACCCATTGAATGCTGACGGCCGCATCGAGCTAACGTTAGTTGGTTTCAAAAGCAAAGTGGCCATCACAGCACTGAAATTCAGACTGGAATGATGTTAACTTCAAACTTGGCTGTGCCAAGGCGGTCTGGCGGTTCGCATCCAAGTTGCACGGCTATGCTTGATTGTTAGCGTTTTCGAATTTGACGAACTTTTATAATTATTGGCGGAAGTGTAATGAAATGCTCTAATTTACCCATTTATTATCATCCCTTTTTGTTATCTTAATTCACATACTGTGAACGTTTAGTACTTTGTCATTATCATTGATCTATTGTATGTATAGTTATAGCATAGGTAACTAGACGTTCAACTGATGGTCACGCCATACAAAGAGAAATTAGCATTATTTTTCAAAAGTAGAGCATCCCATAACATCTTCTTTGGAGATTATGAATTTAGGCCCTGTTCAAAAAGTTTACAGCCAGGTATACTCGCGGTCCTTGGGTTCAAAACCCCTAGAGATCCTTGACACAGCCATCATTGAAGTTATCGCCTGTCCATACTGAATATGAATCCTCTGTTGCCTTTCTCCATCACCTCTCCTAACGTCAGCTCGCACAATGTCGGCGTACCAAGTTAACCGTTGTGTGGAAATTAGACACCCACCCAAGCCATTGAAGCTTGGGTTGCAAAACAACACGGTTCAACGTCCGGTTGCATCTGTTTGCTTTGGCACTCCACAGACGGCAGGCATAACTTCTGTCGTGACCCACATGCGTTGATCCGACATGGTTCCAGACAGTCTATGGATGTTGTTTGCATGAATAAGCCAAGTGTCGCAGTCATGGAATAAGGCTGCCTGTGCTTTAGCATTTTGTACTCGGACATTCACGGTAAGCCTGTAGTTGCGCCGACCACAAAGGTGACGTTGCTTGACAAAATCTTTCCCAGTGGATGCATCCGTTGATGCACCAGCACTGAGGTTGCTGCCATGCTTAGTGAATAGCGATAGTGTACCACTTTTACCATTGGACCATCGATCACAAACCATAGTCGACCTGGTTCATGACTAGGTCTTGGAGTCTACGTGACCTTTATGAGATTATACGTTGCTTCTTCGTTCTCTTTTAGCTCTTCAAAACCCTGAACGGAAAATCTTTTGTGTACCGCACCAACGCTTGCCAAAAGTTGAACACCATGTGCAGTGAGCTCCTGACCAGGTATTCCAAGAAGTACGGCCCCGATGCAGTGGATCTGTGTGTGGACTACGCGTTTAATCAAGATACAGCGGACCAGAACAAGGCCTACATTCAGGTAACTGTGGTGGACGTCTGCTCTCATTACCTGCCTGTATCTGCCACAATCCATCGTTATTGGAGTGCCTTCGCTTTTCATGTTTTCAGTACAGTTTAGTTTACTTTCTCCTAGAAGGTAAAACTCCCGCCTTACGCACGCTCCTCTCCCTCTTTACACGCTCCAGTAATCGCCCAATACCTTCAATGTCTAACGTTATCTTTTTCATTAACTTCTTCTCCGTGGGGAATAGCACACAAACAGTGGCTTTTCGATATTTTGAACTCTGTTCAAATTTTTTTGTTCTCGATTTGCGTACGCTTGCTACGACTTCCGTTCGGACCACACTTCGTTGCCCGTCTGTGTGACACCTGCACCATTCGGTTGTAGGCGCGTTTGCCTCAGTGAATGTGTTGCTCCCAGTCATCGCCAGTCGGGAAACTAACTCAAGCATGTAACTTATTCAGGGTTTGAGGCAATCAAACCATTTGTCTCCGTCTTTTTACTGTGCCGCGGGCTGTCATCGTATTTCCGCTCTGTGCTGCCTGCCTGCATTCTAATGACAAATTCATCGCCTCTCACTTATGGGTACCGGTGTGGTTTGGTGATCCGTCTGTGAACCTTACCGTCAAAATGATGCGGAATAACAATTGTCAAGGCATGAAGAAGGATCACCAACTAAGCCAGCCGCCAGCAATCGTTTGACTTTAAGGTCAACAATTGTGAGTAAGAGGCTGATTGCAAGTTTACGACTTCTCAATCGCGTCAAGTTGGCTTTGAGACTTCATTATTTGCATGCCGGGTCCGGAAACCCCTATCTTGGAAGACACTACGGATTAGCGAATCTAACATCCGGCCAGTTTCCTCATGCTTTTTGTCTCACCATTGAATGATCGTTTGGAGGTTTCTGATGTTGGAACACCTCCCATTTCTGTTTGAGAGTAGAGACGGTTCACGTGTAGCACGCATTCTGGTGTTACAACAGCGAAACTGTTGCCAAACAAACCACGTCGTACATGTGCACCATCCGACATGCTTCACAAATATCAAACGCCATGTGACCAATCATCTCATGCTGTCCTCATTGCTCACGGTGACTGGGTCTCAAATGCATGTTCTGCTCTGTCATCATACTCCGGTCATTGGAACCTAGTAATCATAACGAATGTCGTCGAAACGGTGCCTGAACTCTTTAACACGAATTTCGAAAATGTATCAGCAAGTTTGTTCCATGACAACGAGCCAAGTGTACTAGTCATCATCATTCATTATCCATGTTAGCTAGAGGTGGAAAACATCTCAGCTACTTTGCCGCAATACATAGAAGAAAAAAGGAGAAGCAATGCAACTGGTGCATGCCAGCTGAGCTACGGGTAACGGATGGGCATCGTTCCAGTAAGCTACCAGCCGGCTACTGTGCATCAAAACAATTACTATGCAAAGTTATATAAGGCTAAATAGTGAGCTCGTGGTTGGTGGGGGAGGCTAAGAGGGATGGGGTGGGACAAAGAAACTCACAGCACGAACGCCACTGAGCTCGGCTCCTAGCCATATCAGCAAGTGTATCCAGCCAAACGTGTTCATCGTCTTTCGGACCCCAACCAGGGCGCCGAGGCGCTCCAACCGCGGCCAGCTTCGAAGTGAGGGTCTACATTCCTTTCGACCAAGTCATCGCTTGCCCAGCCCTCCTCTTCTTCCAACCACACCCCAGGCGCGCAAACAACGCACGTCACAGGAGTCGGTGGGCTGGCATGCGTAACACGTGGCAGAGCCATCGGGGCCTGATGCGTGAAATAACGGTGCTGAGCGGTTCATTTCCTTTTCCTGTGCCGTAAACATGGCGTCGAACAAAATCGTTACTCACGTGGTGTTCCCACCAGATGTGAGCTAAATTGCGAAGACACCGGTGGTCGAAACTAACTAGCCTATTTATGTCCGCTGCTTTAAGGGACCATGTTCCACAATCGTACAGTAGGGTCGAACGTACCACTGCATTGTACACTCCAACATTTAAGGCGAGAGTGATGTCGCACCGGCGCCATAAGTGGCAAAGGTTAGCAAAAGCACTTCGAGCTTTCGCTATACGGTTCGTGATCTCGTCTTCGATCCCAAGGGCGCTGATACAACTTCCCAGGTAATTGAATTTCTGAACGACTTCTAGCTGATCCCCACCAATGGTCAGCGTAGGTTGCAGTCCATACCAATCTTGGAGGAACGCTTTGCATTTCGATGGTGCAAAGCAAAGCCTGAAGTGACGGACAGCCAGTGCTAATCTGTCCAGTTCTGCTTGGCACGTTTGTGAGCTGTCACAGATTAGGTCAATATCATCAGCAGACTCAAAGTCAAGAAGTCGTTTTCCTGGGAGCAGATCCATACGTTCTAAGTCATGTCCTGTAAATGCAAACTCCATGACTTCGTCAATAGCGAAGTTGAAGAGGAAAGGTGACAGCGGGCATCCTTGTCTCACACCGCTGGAGATATTAAAGGGTGGCGACAGCTTGCCGTAAGCCCTCACTCTGCCCGTGCTACGCGCATATAATGCTCGGATAATATTTACATATTTCTCGGGTACACCTTTCCTGTGTAGACAGTCCCAAAGTGCACGTCTATCCACCGAATCGAATGCACCTTTGATGTCGAGGAACACGGCAACGTTGGGCCGCCAACATATGTGACGGTGCTCCAACTACTGACGCAAAGTGAAGATGTGGTCAATGCAGCCACGACTTCGACGAAACCCGGCTTTCTCTTCACAAATATGGCTTTCACAAGTGTCAAGTGTACTAGCAGGGTCTATGTTTCATGTGATCCAGTGCGCATGTTTCATCACCATACTATCTCCCGTTGTTTAGCTGTTTTTTATATGTGAGAGAACGGTTAAAATCCATCCAACATTGCAATTCAGTCAACCGTATATATTCGACCATATATTATGTCTTTGCTATTCTTCCAAACCTCTCTATCAGATCTGATATTCACTTTTCCCGGTCCACCTGTAGTCAACGTTCTATAAATGTATGCGCTTACCTGATCTTCCCGAAACAGGCGTATCCTGCATGGTGGAGAATGAGTTTGTTTATTTAATTGGTGATGTTCCCAGTGCTGCTTTTAGGAACACACTCTCCGTGTTATCACTTTTGCTAACTAACTGCTCCCTGGAACCGATGATTCCAAGGGCCAGCGCTAACTTCTTTATTCATTCCTGTTCCGAACTTACACGCTGTTATTTGCAGTCTCCTTGTCCGCGTGTTTGTGCAGACGAATATACGTGTCGCTCACCCCACGATCAACCACATTTTCTGCAGTCCGTCTAGTAGTGGAACTTTAGGAAGTAGCGGATCGTACACCATCCGGTCTTTGACCACTTCGCGCACCCCTTGCTGCCTGCTTACATGTGAAGTACTCACTTTAGCAACCATTATCCGTGCACCGAGGCTCCGTTGGTCTTAGTTATCAAACTTTATCAAACTATACTGGTATTGTTAATACTACTCTTGACGGTTCGGAGTATGTGGAGAAAACCACTAGTTGAATCAGTCAGAACTCATAGATGAGGAAACGAGTACCACAGCGCCACTGACTTCCTGGCCGTGTCACTTCAGGAAGCGCATTTAACCATTAATATGGCCTTTCTCGGGAACCCCCTTTGCGATGATCGCATGCGGCAGTCTTTTCCCCACATTCCTCGGCCATGTCATCATCCTGGTGTTCTTCTACCCAACCTGGTGAATTGCCGGTATACGACACAAGCGCGGTTAATCAATGGAGAGGGATCCACTAAGTAGCAACACTGACGGCGCTGCGGCATTTGCCCTTTATCAGTCGGCGTATACCCCACCATTTCCACAGTTGGTTGAAACGCTACGAGCTTGAACGTGTCCTACCAATGTGCACAGCACCCACCTGATTGACATTGCGCTCACAGCTTTTTCCCCACTTTTCTGCTCATGTGCGATCTCTGTGTACGTGATGGCGCCGTTTACTGAATAGGAACTGACAAGTACTATAACCAATCATCATGATGCTGGCTGATTCCCGCCTCCGTGAGGGGCCAATGGACCGGCCGAAAGGCCTATTTGGCGCCTACGCTACCAGCGAACAAGGTTGCTATGTCCCGGCGAATTCCTCTGATGTTTTTTTCTCCGGCATCTCTACGAACAATTTAACCTCACGCCATACGCTTGTCAATATAGTTGGAGAAATGCTTTCATTTTGGTTGATACAGTATCCACTGAAGTTTAATCCCTGGTGTCGAGTTTATTTGTACCTAATTACCTAAGCATCTATGAGTAACTGGAGTTTGCACCTTTGAGCATACCCGAATTTCCCTCCAACTTTGCTCCCAGTTGAAACTGACGCAGCTGACTTGACCAAACGCCTAAGCAACGGCACAGACAGTTGCTTCAACTATTGCTCTATTATTCCATTGCGACAATATCTTTTAGTGTCAGGCTTGTCCACACAGACACACCAGTTGGCCAAAATTTATAGCCGTATCCAGTCACCTGACAGGGAACTGCTCTGTTGAGTTTTCGACTGGCGTAAGTTTGAAGCAACGCCACGATTTTCGCCCAAATTCAGTTTTTGCATTTTTTAACTCGCGCTTGAGTAGACCATGTTCACTTGTTGTCTCATTTGATGGACCCCGTGCTCCCTTTTGGTCAGCCTGGGGCTGTTTTGTGAACTTGGTCATGTGGCTAACAAACCCATTTGTTCGTCTTGTTTGTGTAGGTCACCTACGTGGAACCGTACAAACCGACAACACAATCCACCAATTCCCTGAGTTCGTATGCGAGACACCACGATGTACGCCAATTCATGTTCGAGACACCGTTCATTCTTCTCCCCGGTAAGTCGTTTCTCTTTTCACCTCCATCGTTCCCCCTCCCACCCGCCTCCAGCTGTTCTGTTGGGCAACTCGTTCTGCAAGTTTACATGTTATACTGTTTTACACTAAACTGGATTGACCCTCATTTCCAAACTGACATCCACTGTATTACATTGTGGGCTATGACCACCTTTGTAAACATTGGTGAGCACCATCTTTGTGTTGAAATGTATTGAATTCTTTCTATCACTCACCCCATACGCGCGCTTCCTTTCCCTCTCCCCGTTACTATACACCTACCACAGGAAGATCTTTTTCTAATTTAGAGTTGCCTGCACTCGAATATGTTGCCTGATGTTTTTACGTGGCTCCATTGTGGGGCTTAGTTCATGATGTCTCATCTTCGCCGCTTGCTCATAACCTTCCGCCGCTTCTAACCCCCACAGGCCTTTCGGCCACAGCCAGTTTACTCGCCTCGGGCCCGAAACGAAGCGAGGATTTGACACTGCAATGGAAGCGCCGAACGGTGGTCACTACTGAGGCGAGCTTTCCTCATTTACGTCGACGTTTGGAGGTTGTCGATGTGTCGGAGACGGATTTGTCACCCATCGACGCAGCGATCGACGCAATTTCTTGTAAAAACCATGAATTGCGAAGTCACGTGAAGACGATTTCTAATCTATCCCTTACTGCTTCCAGTAAGTCGGTGTTTCCCTTCATTGACCATGTACTTTGTCCATGTGACTATTTTAATTCATAATCCGTTTATCCGTGTAACTCCATTTTCAGGCAACACAGGTGACTCTTCGGATTGCAGTTCCGAACGTGTCACTGTTACCTCCATCGGTATTCGATCTCCTGTGAATTGCGCCGCTGCGAACTGGTCCGGTGGACGGGCAAACAGCGACTCTCGCGATGTGCACTGTATTCCCCTTATTATGGATATGCAACTTCAGGGCGCATTGTTGCCCACAGTGAACGCTGGCCCAATGGCGTATGCGGAGGCCTTTCTCAAAGCGGAACATCAGTCGCTGTACCCCGCGGACAAGGTGGCCCACCTTCGCGATTTGTTTTTGTAAGTCGTGCTCCTTTGTTGTGCTAAGTGCTTGTGTTGCTGAACAGCCCGATGCCAAACCACTGTCTGGTATGCATTTGGCATATCAGTTGCCACGTGTTAAGCCAACCGCGTGGCACCCGGGCACATACTTGAGCCCGTATCCGCTCTGGTGTATGCGTGCGTATGCACTGCTTAATTACACATACCGTTAATTGCCTGGCAAGCTTTCCGTCTACCCGCTCCCTCACCTCATTAATTTTAACACCGTTATACACCAGATCTATAAATAGATAGTAACAATCGCCAACTGTACACCGTAACGGCGCTTCGCTGCCGCACGACCACCACCAGTCGCGTGTGGGCTGAGTATACCGCGAGAACGTCCGCCCCTCCGCGGATTCGAACCGGTGACCTTATGATTGCTAGCCAGCTGTGCAGACCACTCGGTCACCGGCGGACACCACCCACGGGCGCATTCACCTGCAAAGGCTAGAATGTGGTGTCGAGGTCATACCTTATCACTGCACTCGAGCTCTACTCTCGCGGTTCGATGTGTGTTATCGCGTACTTGGCTTTCCTTTCGTAGGAACGTGCTCTTTGTGACCACGAACTATGTGGCTGCTAGCATCGTATCAACAACGGGTGTCACTGAAGTGTCGAAGCTTCCACCCGCACACGTAATGGTCTTATTCCCGCTGCAGGGGGTTACACATATCACACATGGTTTTAAGCACCGTTTGTTCCATTCTCCTGTATTCCATTCAAGCCGATATGGACCCTGGCCTTTCATCCACTGTTGGCAAGACTAATGACCCAGTTGGACTTTCCTAATTCCGTCCCACTTATATGCTAACCAGCTTCATCTGACTGTGCATATGATCCAAAGGTGGAGCATCGTTCGAAAAATTCACCACCTCGCATTTGAAAGCGCCCTCTCTGAGAAATACTGTTTGCCTGCCACATGTGTGTGCGTTCTTTTCGATGGGCATGTGAACATTCTTGTTCAGGATCGTATCCTTAGTGCAAAGTTACGTAATTACTTTTATGCGCTTTGCATCGGTACATCCATATCATCCGCTGGACAACGATGTACACTTTGCGATGCTCGGCGAGTGCGGTTTTATACCATCTGCAATTTTTCGGATACCGAGGGTGTGCTTTTAGCCGATGGCGCTGCAATATGAATCGCGCATAACGCCCCTTGTACATAGCAAATCGACGAGAAGCGAACGTTATGCGTATTTTCTCTCTGGTTGGGGTCTTAGGATATTTGGCGGTCGGTGATGTTCTTGCATATGGCTCCTTACTTTTACTCAGTCTCCCATTTTGTCCCATTTAGGTTTGTTTCACCTTTCACCACTTCTCCCATTTTTCGTTAGTCATTTCTGTCATTATTCCTATTATTATTGTTATTAAAGGGACGTAAATCAATACAGCTATGGCCACAGTACTTTTGTCCTGGTTTCTGATCTGAATTCGCCCGTATAACAGTCTATCCAAAGTCCCAAATCCAAAGCAGTTTGGCTTGTACCGTAATTCCCATGTCACCCTTTGGGTCATCTCAGGTGGCTTGGTCAGAGTCCACTATCGAACTAGCTGGTCTTTGTCAGCTCCGTCGGAAGTAGTTTCCCTCGCCTGGTTCTGTCAGTGCTCATGATGGGAGACATCTGGCATTTCACATTTCGCGTCGCAAGCCATGCACTAAGTGGCACTGATCACACACTTTTCATTTCAGCATTTTATCTGTCAATTCGCTTTTGCTTTCAGGTCTACAGAGCTCAGGAACACACACGTTGCCTTTCAGATCGGCTCCACTACACCAAACACGATGTTGGCGTTGTCCACCCGGCACTTCTTGAGCTTTTGTTGTCACTCTGCCACCCGTCATCTTTGCCTACTGTTGTATTCACGAGTGGCCAGAACCCGCACGCGTCTATGCTGCGTCATCCATAGCTTCTCCCGCATAATCAACCAATATCCAGGGTGGTTAAACTGAAGGATCAAAATCTAAGAGTTCGAGTAGGAAGCACGCTGGTTTCTTAGCTGATTCCAGTTTGTCGAGATTTATGTCATCTGCGGTCAGTTGAATCGTTCTATATTGTTTCAGACGTTACGGGTGCAACTGACAGCACATGCGTTATTTTTTGTGACATTTAACCTATACAGTGTACGATGGCGGTTTGGCGGAGGCAGTCCGACGCTTGTCATTGTGACAGAGAACCAATCAACCGCTGCCCGCCTGATCTGATCACGTCGCACGGGCCGGATGTGCAAGGCGTCATTAGTGCGTGGTAGCACGTCCAAAGCTCGAAGTAGCCCTAGATTGGGTAAATGTGGGTTGAACTAAGCGCAACAAGCGAACAGCGCATGCGGGCCAATGAACTTGCTAATTAGCCGGAGGGAGACTGTTCTGAGCATAGAAAACATCAGATCAACTAGTGTCATTGCATTCCCGGTTGGTAAACGATGAGTTCGCGTCTCGCAACACTGGAGTGAGTTGTTCAGCTGTAACGTCGGGACACGATGCATTTTGCACCTGCGTCGACCTTAAACCTGTTGTCCTTTCAACTGACCATTTTCAGACCGTGCGTATTGCACACTTCTTTCCTGTTCGTTTCCTCCGTTCCAAACAATTTTTTATTTGTTCTGCTGACGGTGGTATCTTGACCCAGTAATCTTGTTTACTGCATGATAATTTCCAAGTTATAACCTTCCTTCGATGAGCCCCTCGCGTCATTTAATCTTCTGAGCTTCAGAAAAGTGTAGCTTCTTCCTAACGCAAGGATTCTTTTCTAGCTGATCGGGACATCGAACGGTGGCCGAGCAGTTCAGGCTTCTAATCCAAATGTGTTCGGTTCTAGGGTACGGAGTTGCTGACCACCTCACGATATCACCAATTCACATACGACTGGTGAAGATCTTATAGCAGCGAGGCGTCGATACTACGTACCACCGAGTGCTGATGTCGAATCTTACTTGTCCAGCATAACATTATAAAGTCAAGGACCATTTTGTAACCTTCCAATAATCATGACTGGATAAGAAACCTTTATCTTATCATATGTGTCAGGTCCAGAGAGTTGGAATGTTAGAGCAGGGAACTATACCTGCCGGCAATCCGCATTCGTAGTCGCTCCCACTTCTCACATCCTCATTTTGATGAAAGCACAATTTGCTCATGTTTTGTATCAAGTTGCCGTGTAGCGGTTTTGCCTAACTCCCACTGAATAACCTTGGACCAATTACGTTGTGCGCTAAGTGTACACTACCTTTCATTGTTGATTTCTTCATTCTTCTCTTCCAGTGAATTCCTCACACTTTGTCTGGTCCTTCTTACCCACTATCATCGTCTCATGTCTAGTGCGCATGAGGCCAAATATCACGCCATGCGCCAGGCTTTGGATCGGTACCGAGTAGATCTGAGCAATCTTCTCAAAGTGGAGGTAGGATTTACTCTTTTTTCATGATCCACCCACATAACCCTGTTTGGTTTACTTGCTGGTCGTTAAAAACTACATCCACGTGTTATCCCATCCTAATCGATTCTCCTGGTCGAACTACGTTAATACACATCATCTGGTCTCTGCTTTTTGACGATTTGTGCTCACGATCGGGTACATAGCTGTTCTTCTCCCCCCACTGAATGCTTGTGTGTTCTCCGTTTGTACCAAAACAACTCAGGATGAGATCATGTACCAGCCCGTCCGAGCTGCACAGTTATGGGACCTTTCTTTTATAGTTCATCATCAAGATCGTTGCAACCGATCCTTGAATAACTTCTGAAAGCACCGAGGTGCTGTCATCCTGCGAACTTAACGTGACATCTCTCTTGAACATTTACAATCGGATATGGAAACAATAGCTGCCAGTTCTGCGATAGGATTGTGCAATCAAAGTAGACGAATGGATCACCAAAATGAGTTAAGGTTACTCCAACTGAGTCAATGGAACATTGCGTACGCATTAGGGCCGTCGTTTATGGAAGCGAACGGACAGAAATAAAGAAGAAAGGTATCAGCAGTACGTCGGTACTGCGTACCGACGCTTCGCTGCCGCGCAACCACAACCACTCGCACTTAAGCTAAGGAGACTGCGAGAGTCGCTTTGTCCCTACGCATTCTCGAACCCGCGCTGTCAGATTACAAGACAAGCTCGTTATCTTCAGGCTACGGGCCGAACAGCCAATCGATATCTGTCCAGCGTGCCAAACATGCTGTAATTTTCCCTTACTTGACATCACCGAATAAATGCTTGTCGCTGAAAGGATCTAGGCAGCTGGTCCTATGCACTTGCGAATAAACGCCCACATCAACGCATGCCGCATTTCCACTCTGCGGAAACCCAATCAGTTCAGTGGTGTAGTCGTTCAATATTTGCCGACAATCATCCTATTCAAGCTCGCCGCTGTGTTACGGCGAGAATCCGCCTATGTGATGTACTATAGAATCAGATGCGCTTCTCGTCCTTGTGTGTACTCGCACTAGTAAAGTAAAGGCTATATATATATATATATATATATATATATTCGTAGCGCCTTGGTTACTATTACAACATCCTCCGGTCATGCGCATTTGTTGGTGACATTCGGTGGGACCGGGTCTCTTTTCACTGCTGTTTGCTGCACATCCCGGATGAAAATCTTCTCAATGAATCTCTTGATAACCTTTCCACTATGTTTCCGTAGTCCATCCGTTGCCTTTTCACTTTCCGACATAGGAATTCGGACATTTGTCCTAACCATCACATGCTGCTAAACATAGAATACATGCCTCACACAATACTCACTAATAAGATTTCATAACATGAAACCTCTTTTGCACTGAATACTTGCTGTTGTTTGTCCTTGGTTTACACTTCAAGTTTTAACTGTATGTCGAGGCATCCTACTGGCCCAATGGTAACTGGCGCTTTTGACTCTGCTCGCTTGTACCTCTTGCTCTGTATGGTTTGCGCATTCAATCCGCGTGTTATTCACTACTGCCCTCCACTCCCCTTTCCTCATTCGCTGCAGATCACGGTGGATGAGAAGCGACTCGTTATCGGTCCGAGGTCGACGAGCGTCTCAGATCTTACAGCTTCCATTATCAGCGCGGCTAGCGAATGTTGACTGCTGGCTTGTGTAACGGGGGCGACACCTCTCCCATCGCTCACTGTACATCACTGTATCATACAACCCTGAGCTTACTCTTTACCGTTTCCTTCACCACGCGGCCGCTGAACGGGCACTTGACCTTTACCCGCTTCTCTGGTCCAGCTGTACACCGGTTTAATGTTCCATTCTTTGCTATTGTATTCTCCCTCCCTTCGCCCATCTAACTTACTCTTTTTCTCACTTTCTGCAACATGCTCCTTTCCACGTTTGAGTTCCATCTCCCTGCCAGCCAACAACTTTCGATCAACCCAACCGATGCGTGATGTACTTCTTTATTCTGCTTATTTTTTGATATTTTACAGAACCATGTTCTGTTTCCGATGAGCATTGTTCCTGTGCATCTGTTCATCACAGAAGCTACCTTCGTTGCAGCTGATGGCTTTGTTTTAATGTTATTATTTTCAGGGATGGACACCTTTTTAGAGGTTGACCGCTTTCCGTTGCTTCGGCGCATATTTGCGTGCTCTTGTGCGCGTATCTCTCTGCTTGAATCGCTCAACCTAAGGCTATCGTCTTTGTTTGCAAAAATTTGCACAACAGTCGCTCAATCTCCAGATTATTTTATTTTGACAAACCTGTACTGGCAGCCTGTTTCTCATGAAGTTCACACTTGCCGTTGAGCGGTATGTTATTTTGCATCCGACGCAGATAAAGTCGAATCCTTCTACATCCATATACTTATTATCTCTTTGTCTTTGCCTAAGGATACTTGTTTATCAAGGACCGAGTGATCCATCTATTATGCCCGAATTTCATATAGATACACGTGGTCTCTGCACCGAGAGATCGGTCTCCTCCTCGCTTCTGAATTTCAGGATACTCATCGTGTGATATGAGCACACGGTCAGTCAACGGACGGTCTCCAGAAGGGAACCACACAGTCATTTGAAAGCCTGATTTGATGCAACTGGTTTGCTCATTTATTTACGTGGCTCCTTTGATAACTGGATGTTTGGCGAGGTTCCTCGCTATTTTCTGAATTAAGTCAAAGAAAAAAATCATTAACCCGGTGACTTCATCATTAGTGGATGCTGATCAAGAATATATGTCGAAACGATTAGCCAGTCAAGGGCGTTGTCATTTCCGCTGTTTGTTTCTGAGGGACAAACACACGGTGTGGTCTAATTGTTGCGCACAATTTCTTCCTCAGCCATGATTGGCTTTGGGACAAATCCATGTCACTTTGATCACAAGGATCGGTGTTGCATCCTCTGGACATTACACTCCACGAACTCCCGCTGTGCCTTGTGTCAAAAGCGTCCGCAATGAGGTCACGACATCCCTCGATGGATTCCGAACCTTATCGCCTCTACCTGTCAAAACAAGCACGACATCGGTGTTGGGGGTCCGTGTTATGGGCGAGAAGCGTCCAATCTATGTTCACTTCCAACACAGTCTCAATCGTTGCAGTGAGTCGGATTTGCTTCATAGCAAACCTCTGTTCAAATCTAATTGCTGGCTCCAATCCAACCAGGCGGTCCGGTTAGATGCTTCGAAGTGCATGCACAGTTTGCTTTTGGATTCAATCGAAGACTGAGTTGATCGTGTCAGCGACTATTATATAGCAGCAGGCGACAAAAGTCTAAAGCAGAGTGATGCAGTCTAGTTTTACTTCTCTCCTTAATTACCATGGCATGGCAACCTGCCAGTTGTCTATTGCTAGAGTGTTTAATTTATACAGGTGGCAATACCGCCGTTTCCGAATTCGCCTGTCACTGAGACTGCGAGCAGCCGCAGGACGCCTGTGTCTACTACGGAACCATGGATGGCTTGCGCTAAACCACCCACAGCTCCATTCACACTCCAAATATCCATTGTATGACTGGGAGGCATGTAGACGGGAGCCGTGATTGATTCGGAAGCGGCCCACACTCTTTTAAGATGCACATCATTCATGTGACCAGAGGTAACATGGCATACTAGACATACACAGCGCGGTGGTGGCTGGGTCGTAGTCCGTTCCTCACTGGATGGAACCAATGCATGAGGCTGACACCATCACAAAGATGCACCCTCTTTCCCAGTAACGCTCAACAGTCCCTAATAGTCAGTAACCAACGTGGCGGTTTTCCACAGGTAGCCACCTTGGCAACATTCACATCATGCGCAGCCAGCTCGGGGATATCAATCAGTAGAACCCACAATGCAATAAAATAAATACGCAGGTACATGAACGGACCAACTGCATCGATGACGAAGTACTCGTGCCACATCTACCGCATTACTAGTCTGGGTTAGTAACTGGACTCGGAGATAGTGTACTTATCAGGCGCTGATACCTACTCAGCTTACTCGTCGCTTCCTCAACATTGGCCTCTCGTAGCCACATTGATGGTTTACCAGACCGGCTTGTCTGAGACCCACACGGCCACATGTGCCCCAGCACCGTGTGTTTGACGTCGATGGGTTAGGCCCCATCGGTGCACGTCGCTTCCGTAACCGGTGATTTTTCCTAATGCAACTGTACTTTCTAGTGTACCTGGGCAATGGCATTTTTGATGTGGTCATACCATTGGTGGTGATCTAATGCCATTGCTTCCGAACACCTAGGGTCGACATCAGTCGTAGTAAACTTTCCCCAATTACGTCCTGGTAACCTGGATCTGATTTGCCCACGTTCCGCTTCGCTGTACTAAGTTGGCCATATAGTAGCTGTTTCGGTATTCTAGTCGAATCCTTACGGTGGACGTACCCGAGCCACTTCAGATGTCACAGCAGAAGTCTGTAGTACATTCTCTGCATGCCTCCCCATGAAGCACTTCCGTGTCAGCATTTTTGTTGCACCAACGGATGCGTAAAATCCGATGAAAGCACTTCGATTAGTTGATGTCATTCTGGAACAGCGTTCGTGCTTCACTGCCGTAAAAAAAACTAATGACACCATGATTGTACAGGGTGGTCACGAAGTCCCTGATGTTTTTTATAATACCATTTAATATTTGTACATTTATCATACTATTTATAGCATATATGTACGATACTTCTCTTTCTATTTTCATGCATACATTCGAAAAACAACCGACACAAGTCCCTACATAATTGAAGAAAGACCCACAGCTGCTGTCTGGGTAAATTATCGAGTGTTAGAAAAAGAACAATAGCTGACGTTTCCACCAAATTCCAGGAGCGTTTCAAGAAGCCTGCACCAAAAAAGGACACATTATTGACATGGGAGAAGAAAACATTTGCATCTGGATCTGTGCTGGATGCCCCTCGCTCTGGACGCCCTGCTTCCCGAATAGAGCACGTGGAAATCATTCAGCAGTCAGTTTTAAATTCTACAAAGAAATCGATTCCTAAGAGATCTACTGACTCGCATGTTCCCCGCTCCACACTCCAAAAAGTACACAAAACTAACCTAGGCGTGTCAGCATTCAGGCCAATGCAGGTCAGTGAACTGTCTGATATTGATCGACAGAATCGAATGGAAGCGTGTCGACACCTCCAGGAATTCTCCACAAAAATTGGTCATCACAGTGTCTTCTTTAGTGATGAATATGCTGTCTATCTCAGCTCACGATCACGAAATGTTTACGTTTGCATGGAGATTAACCCATACAATGCTGAAGAAATCGCCCACAACCCACCGCACATCATGATGTGGGCGGCATTGTCAGCCACCGAAATCATTGGGCCATTTTTTTCGCAAACTCACTGAATCAATTCAACTTTCGAGAAATGTTGGTGACCTGGTTCATTCCAAAATGGGTTTCAGCTGGAATCATGCATGTAGCCATTCTGCAGCAAGATGGTGCTCCTACACATTTTGCTATCTCGGTGCGCCGGTTCCTGGATGAGAATTTCCTTGACCAGTGGATTGGACGTGGATCACAACATCAATGGTCAGCTCGCAGTCCTGACCTCTCATCACGCGACAATGCCTTGTGGAATATGATGAAAAACGACATCAGAAAACCACTGTATAAAAAACACGAAGAACTTAAAGCTGCAATCCGTTCTTCATTGAACTCGATTTCCCCTGATGATATGCAGCACATCTCAGCATGCACTTGGTGACACATTCGTCTATGTGCTGAGAATGACGGTGAACACACAGCCACACTGGATCCATGACAGTGTGATCATAGGCTAGCACAAGTTTGTTTCAATAAATTTAATTGATCAGCGAAGAGCCCTTATTTCCCTGGACAAATATCATGTACCATTTTTACATTAATACGCTGATTTACATAGGTATATGCATAAACGCGGTCTCCGGGGACTTTGTGGCCACCTTGTGCACCCCCAACTTGGTTCTAACGCTCACCTGGTGTGTCTTCCACACCCTGTGTTTCAGCTTGTCATCTGCGACATTCACCTTCAATGCGCGGATGCACAGCTCGCTAGTCATTGGCAGGTTCGTTGACAATACGTTCCCGATGTAGCGAAATTTCGACGAGGTCTCCAAAACGTTATCAGCAATCCGGATTTGCAGCAGGCCCACGAATTCCATTCCTAATGACTTCCAGCTGTCGCTGGAAAAGACAAACAGTCTTGCTTGTGTTGTTGGTGAATCGGAACTTTGCCGCCGTCGAAGCGAGAGCCGTCGTTATAATCTGCAGCTCATCCTCGATGTGTGCAAACACCGCGCAGTCGTCGGCAAATAGAAGCATCCGGATGGTTGTTTCACGCCCTCGGGTTCTCGCCCAACGACGAAGGATGTTCAACAACCCACCATCAAATCGGTGCTCCAGACGGACACCGTAACCACAAGCATTGAAACCATGGGACATCATTACAGTTAGGTAAATATCAATCAAGGCAGCGGCGAAGTCACAGTCTTGTTTCACACCAGAGACAGCAGAAAAGTCATCAGAGGTTTGTCCACACAGCCGCACCCTCGCCCGCCTACCGTTGTGCAGGCATTCAATTAGAAATGTAAACTTACTCGAACAAACGAACTTACAAAAGCAGCTGCGATCCCTCGCAGTGTCAAAGGCCTTGGTGAAGTCTAT